AATTCATATGATGTTCCGGTTTATAATAATGTATTTTTTATTGAAAGACAGTCATTAATAGTATGTGTTATTTGCGAGTTAACCCGTTTGTGGCATTTCCCATATAAATTAGCAGTTATTAGCCATTAATTTATTATTGTATACAATACATAAAACATTTTTCAATAATATATTATATAATAATATATAATATTATTGTGGTTTAGATTTGTTGCATGAGATATATCGAGATCAAGAAGTCATTAGCAGCGGCACAATGCGTTCAATGTCTTCAATGATTTTTAAATATACAGTAATATTAGTGTCATTACAGGAAATACAATTGAATTCAACAAAAAACAATTGCAATAAAGTTGTAAAATATTGTTTTGCATGTTATGTGATGAGTGGGTAATCATATCTTATTAATAGTTAGTACTTATATATAAGTTATACATGCAATCCAAGTGTTTGTGATTTAAGTGATCCGTACTTTTGAGACACTAATGAGTCTTCATTTTAAGTCCTTAAACATAGCAAAGATGTGAACATTTGTTGAATGCATACAAAGCCAATAGAGTATGCATTTGATACCACATAATACATGCACTCAATTGTTTAGTTTACATTACTTTTCAGTTGACTATATATTAGCTTCTAATATAATAATCTATTATTAGTTGTAAATTAAACCTATAAGTCTGTATACATAAGGATTGGCTACAAATGTTTGGCTATAGCTATGACTGTATAGTAAATATACAACAATTTTGTGGTCCTCTAAAAAGTAAATTTTTCACATACAAAGAGTTTTGTGTGTGTGTGAAGACCTTTACAATAACTATTGTGGGCATTGATAGCACCGATACCCCACTGGGAGCCCAATAACAGTTACAATGCAGTGGCTCTTCGGGCAAAACACCTGAACATCAATGAGAAGGACATAACTTTAGAGTATTTGAGTTTGAATTCAAAGTAAACCATTTGCTGTAAATGACTCGCTATATAAACTAAACTACATTTTTAACAAATACTTTATAGATTACAAACTACTTGAAACACACTTTTAAGTGGCTTTTCTAGTTGTCAAATGTGATACCTCAGCAAAACAACATCACCACTGATAGATCTCAACTTATGTTTACATTTACTTTAATACTGACTTATTTTCAATATGTGTTAAATATAAAAATTACACAAAAAAACCAATAGACATATCTATACAGTAGAGACTGATTTATGTAGTGTTTGTATACAAATTGATTTTTTTTATTGTACTATAAAAGTCAGAAATAATATTGTATTTGTTTAATAGACACAAAGTTTGAAGTAAAAGTAAACCGAAATACTTTAATTCAATCGCAAGTCTCTTTCAGCTCTCTTTCTTTCTCTCTTTCAATAACTACTATATTTTTTAAATTTCAATAAAATTAAATCTTTAAACAATATTACAAAACTATAATTACAAATTTGCTTTCGGTTTGCTTTTGATGCAAATACTGAATACATTTATACTGAATATATATATAATATTATATATATATATATATAATTATAATTACATTTAACTGTAAGTTTATTTAAGTTATTATTTTTAAAGTAAAGCTATTCTTTAATTGTTTATTCAATGCAAGTGATGGATAACATCACGAAAATGAGTGCACATTCAATGAGATCGTGAATGTGTCTCAAAATAGATACTAAGTCTTACTTATATAACTTTTTGCGATATCTATTAAGTATTGTGATTCATATGATGTTATAATCACTCATTAAATATAATTTTAAAGTAAAATATGTTTTATTTTTGTAAAACTATATGTTGTAAATATTATATTTATATTGTTTATACACTATATTACTATACAAATTATTATTAGTAAGCTTATAAACAATAGCAGTAAAAATACAATATATACAGTATGTTATATTACATTATAATGTACCGGTATATTACAATATATTTATAAAAAAAATTATAATAAAAATTTTATTATATATTATATTAAAAAGCAACAAAGTATAGAAAATTATATTATTAAATTATTTAGTTAAAATATTTTTATTGATTAAATTAACAGAAAATATTATTTTATTTTATAAAACAAGAAAATGCGTCAAATAAAATAAATTTAATAAATTAAAAAACTTTTGTTCATTATATTCATGTGATAAATGTTTTTACATTATTTTTCAATTGTGTTATCAAATAAGTTATATTACTTAGATTTTGCTAATATTATTATTACTATTACTGTTATTATTATGAAACTTTCAGCTAATTTACCACAAAATTCACATAAACTAATGTAATGACATTATATGTGTTTGTAATGTTTTATTTCATATCATTATTGCTATAATAATTTTCTTTCAAAATATAGATTATAATTTAAAATTTATATTTCTTTCGGTAATCGTTGTGAATAAACTTTTATATATAAGAGGGTAATCAAGATTTTTGGTTAACATTTCTAATAATATATATATATATATAATAATTTATTTTATTAATCCTTTAGAGATTCTTACGTAGATATACTTAAAATATCAATTACACGAATAATATATTTTCAGCAATGGTTTCTATATTAAGTGGTGAATAATATTTTTAACATGAATGCAGAGATTAGATAATAAAATAAATTAATAAAAAAGTTTTTGTATAAAAGTCGTGGCAATTGTGTTGAAATGTTAGAGTAATTTGTGCTAAAACTTGTTAACAATGCAACCAAAGACATAATAAAAATAAATAAGATTTTACTAAATGTAATAAAATAAATTTAATAGTCAAAGTAAGCAAATATGTATATGATATAAATGCCTTAATTTCCTATAATATAATGCATTTACAAATGTATATTATATTTAGTCATTTACAGCAATTTGCATCTGTTTTATAATGTATTAGTAAGTAACCAAGGTTATTTTGTTGAAATTTAATACTAAATAAAATATATATTGTTTTAATTTTCATAATTTTAGCGACAATGCCAATTACTCATAATGATAATATAGGAAACTTAAACTAGAAATAGTTAAACTAATATAGATTTTTTGTATTGATTTTTATAAAAAATAATAGTAAACAAATTGTTGTAAATGTAAACTTAGTTTTTTTAAAGTTTATAATTATTGCCCGTAATGTTTGACTTATATACAGTATATTATAAAAGTTGTGTATTTTGTTTTGAAAACACCTTGGTTACTTATGTCATTATAATCAAAAGTGATTTTGACAAAAATTATTGTATGTCTAATATTATTAATAATACTATAATAACTTTGCAAAAGTAATAAAAATAATGTTTTAACAACAGTGTTAACATTATTTGGCGACAATCAAAATGTTTGTCTCAGTAGTAAAACATTTGAAATACTGATGAGTTTTATTGAATATATAGTACAATATAAAAATTTATATTATTATAATAATAAATAGTGTTAATAGAGTAGAATTAATAGTCAATAATACACATATGATATCATTTACTTCTATAGTAAACTTTGATATAATGTTAATGTTATGTCATTTAATCAAAAGTTAGTCATTGAATAGATAACACAAAAATCTCGATGAAAGTTATAATGCAATGCTTATAATACATTATATAAGTTATGATTCATATCTTGACTAATATTATGAGTGTGTTATGTCATAACTTAATACACACAATGGTTACTCTTTGAGGCAGAAATAATAAGTCCACAAAAAGAGCAATATTTTGTTATATAATATTTTGAGTCACAAATGATAGGATAACACAAACTGTATATATATAATATATATAATAATTGTGCAAAAAGTGCTGTTTTTAGTGATTTATGAGCACATCATTTACAAAATACTCTTATATTTATAGTTAACATGTTTTTTATTTGAAGACAGATATATCTGTGAAAAATGGAAAGCCTTTTCCGTTTACACAGTTATACCAACTTTTATATGACAACTGACTCTTTTGTTATCATTATATAATATACAGTAGTATTATTATATCCAACATATAGTATATAATTTAGTCACTATAAAGCTTTAATCAATGCATTCAATGAACATTAACTCCAAATGCAATTGTATTGTCACTGATGCTCACAATATTAAACACCCCAAACAGCATAACATATTATATTAATACTTTTGGCAAAGCACTGGGTCTTACAATCAAATTGTTTAATGTAATGGCATAGCTGGGAATAAATATATATATTTTTTAAAACAAAGTTAACAATTTGATTAATACCACAGCAATTATCGTTGATATAACATACTGTATAACACGATTTTAGTTTTTAATTAAAACTTTTAATGCTAATAGACTATATTTTCTGGTTATATCTATTGTCAATTTCTCTATTATATCTTACATTATAAACAATTTTAGTTTTATGTAATATTTTGTTAAGACATTCAATGTTAAATAAGATTTTATGCAACCACTGGTTATTATATAACCACTAAAGATATACATTGTATAAAATAATTGTATTGGAGTTACCCGTACTTGGTTACTTTTCTATTCAAATTTAATATAAATTTTATACTGGTCATATACAGTACAATTTCAATATTTAATTCATTCAAAATTTTGTATTTATATTTTTTATCTTATTATTATTATTATTATTATTATATAACATTATATTCATTTGTCACAATCATCACTACTGTATAATTTAACAAATATTTTATAACATGTTTTTGAAAATCAATTTTTATGACTCAGAGTTTTAATAAATTGATTATAAATATGTATATTTAATATTTATAAAACTACAGTACCGGTAATTATACAGTAGTATTTCATTAATACAATATAATAAATGAAACCTATGATATAATAAAACTACAGGTATATTAAATAATACTACCATTCAATACAAATAAAACAAACAAAATGCTGTAAAATAATTTTTAATTTTATTGCAATAATTTTTTTATAAAACATTTGTTGGATAACTCAACAATAGATAATTAATTTAATAAATATAAATTATTATAAAAGTTTAATTTAGTGCTTTAACAGTTATTGTAGACTAGATTATATTATAAAAATTTATAAAATACCAATAAAAATAAACAGAATATATATATACTGTAAATATTTATATTTAAAAACAAATAAAATCAATTAATATTAATATCACGATTGTTGGAAATTAATGGCGAAACAGAATTATCGAAACAATTATCTAAGTCTTCGTCATCGGACTCAATCTCTTCGTCTGTAAATATTTTTTTTTGTTAAATTTAGTGTTAAATTTGAAATTCACATAATTTTTCATACCATTATTGATAGTATTACTTGTGGTAAATAATTGATTATTTCTTGAAACACCGATCGGATGCGGTGCTAACAGAGCCAATGCAATCAACTATTTAGTTAAAAATAATAATAATTATTATTATTTAGAAATAATTTAATGGTATAATCAATAATTATTAAATAGACATACAGTTAAAATGGTTGCACCACCGCAAACAAAAGCCAATATATTTCGATAATAATTATCACAAACACTACATCCGCATGTCTTACACGGATGAAGATTCTCGATGACAATCACAGCGATTCCATTCGACAATTTATCCATAAAACTCATGGCACCAAAAACAAATGCTCCGCTTGACTGAATCAGACAATTATATTACCGTTAATTATAATTTGATTAATAAACTTTAATTTAATAAAATACAGTGTTGTGTCCAATCATATCATTGGTGATCGACAAACTTGTGATTAACATTGTAGAGCCTGATATACCCATTAAAACTGTAACACCATAGATGTCATATTTCTTGAACGAATCATAAGTACCAAAATATAACCAAATGCTAGCACTCAATGATATACTGTTTCCAATAAAATAAGTTAACTAAAAAAATAAATATTAATACAATTATAAAATATATTTATAAGTTTTATTATTATAAATATAATACTATCGATAATTACTTTTTTTCCTATTTTTGTGTTAATATACTTCATTAGAAATGATGAGATAAATCCTGAACTGTATATTACAAGAGGTATATAAGCGATGCTATCCTAAAATTTAAAATAAATTATAATTATTTAATTGTAATTAAACACAAAAAAATGTATAAAATAAAAATACTTTTTTAAGTTTTAATGTTTCCTGAAGAAAAAGCGGGACATAAACCTGAATTAAATTAACGTAAAGTCTGGTACCCGTATAAAGAAGACCCACTTTATAAAACTGAGATTCTTTAAACCAATGTTTCCACTTGAGATGCGTTTCAATTGATGGTAAATCTAAAGTCATCAAATTATCTCTTGAGTTTCGTATATTTGTAACGATGGACATCTGTGGGGCTTCTTTGACACCAAAGTGAAAGATAAGTGATAAGACAACGCCGATAGACATAACAATTAGTATAATATCTCTAAAGATAAAGTCATCGTTAGGAGTGATTTGATCGCTGTCTGCTTTGTGTCTGCCGTCGAGATAAAACATAAGCCATGCGATTAAATAAACCGTTATATTAGAGGCAACAGATAAGGCATATCTCCAGGCATTCAATTCAACCCTTTCACTGGAATAAGGAGTCAAATCGGGAATCAGAGACAAATGACTGATCTGAACGGCTGCCCAACCAAACTGGAAGATCACTATAAACGCTGAATAATAGACCATTTTGGCGTTTTCACTGGTGCTGTCACAGCCAATACATTTGGTAAAAATTATGGGAAATGTGACACATATAAGAACTGTTCCCAATAAGTGCCAACACTTTTTACGACCATATCTGCAGATCCACCAGTCGTTGTCTTTGTCGAGTTCAATGCCAACAAATGGTGTGGCGATTGCATCGGCTATTTGTCCAATTAATAGTAAATAAGCCGCCGTTTTATGGAAACGATTAATAAAATGCATGTAAACCAAGAAGTATGAAAACCAAATGGCGGCGCAAACATCATTGAGGACATGACCCACACAAAAGGCCAATCGTTGTCTTAATGGTAAAAAATGACGATTTGTTGATTCACTTAACGATATCATCGCATCGTCTTCTTCAGCCATTTTATATCTAAATCACAATTAACTCTTACAATAGGCTATAGTCAACTACAGAGTGTGGATACTATTGTCATCAATGGTAAAGATTGGTATCATCTGAAAATAATTAAATAAAATTATGTCATTTTAATAGACTATAATTACAATTAAACAAATTAATGTCTAACCAGTCATTTGATGACAACAAGTGATAACAAATGTTTATAAATAGCAAAAATCATACATTTGTTTCCATCAAAAGTCTTTGTTTGTTTGTTTTCAAATCACAGAAGTCTTCATTTGTGTAATAAAAACAAATGTTTCGCATATATATTGTTAATAAAATTGTGACACAAATACAGACAATTACTGTACAATGATTTGATGATAATAGAGAAGACAAGTGACAACTATAGTGTGCAAACAAACGCCCACTTAAGTGATCACTTCAACTGATCTCACATTACTTTGTTGTCACTCCAGAGTCGTAACAATTAACACATTATTGTAATAAACATAGTATTCATATGACTATTGTTTTGATTGATTGTAAAACCTGTTGTCAAACAACTTTCAACCAATAGTTAGCACAACATTACAACTGATTCATCACAAAAATATTATTTTATTTTTTATATTTTTTAAATAACTCTTATTTAACAAATCTTTTTTGATCATCAAATCAATGAGTAATTTCAACTATTTTTTATATAACAAAATTTTAATATAGTTTCAAAAATAGTATAATAATTATTTAATTTATTAATTTAATGATTTTACTGGTATTATAATGACTACAAGTATTGCATCAAATGTTTTCAACACAATCTTGTCATTACAACAATAATAATATTGAAATAATAGTGAAACCCCTGGACTATAGACTTTACTGCAATTTTCATTGATTTTGTATTAATTGATATAATTTTCAAACTTTAATATTTAAGTGAATTTTTAAAAAATATATTTCAATTAGAAAATACACAATAAATTAATAATTTAAAAAGTAATTTACAATAATTACAAATAACTATTTTTTATGAATAAGATTTGTTTTAACATTTGGCTGACTCTTATAACTTTAAACATAATTATTGCAATGAAACCAACATTTATTATAATAATATAAATGATGGCTATATTTGTTTTTGGCGCTCATTTTAAACATTTTATCGGTAATTGATTATTAATATTTGAAATGATATTAACATTAATATCATTATTTCATTTTTAATGTAATATAAATCAAAAAATTAATTTTTTATGTTAACAAATTAATATTTATAAAAAAAACTTAATTGTATTTAAAAATTATTGAAATATCATAAATTAATTATTATTATTATCTATAGACTATAGCTAATAAATAAAATATCCTATTTGTTTAAATTTTTGGTAATTACGGTACTTTAAAAAAAGTATTAATTAATTAATTGATTGATTGATTACAAAAAAAGATAAAATAATTTTAAAATTTATTTTAGTTATAAAATTGCGATAAAACTAGAAATATAATATAATCAATGAAATCGATGAAATAATTATCGTATTATTTGAGTTCAATAATAATAATAATAATAATAATAAATTTTATTTAATTAAGAGGTCTGTCGTGTGAATATAACTTTTGATGGACTTGTAATTGGTTTTGAGTGAAGAAGTATTTTGCACACCAAAGACATATAATGGGCTCATCTGTCGAGTGGATCACCTGTTTGTGTAACTCTAAGAGTGATTTCTTTTTAAAGTATCGTTTCGGTTGACAAACACTGCAATGCATTTGTTTTGATGCAGTCTTCTTGCGGCTCTTCTTAGTATTTCTTGTGGACCGACTTCTTGTGTTTGTTTCACTTTCATTGTTTGTATTGTCTGCAGTCGTCAACAGACATAAGTCTTCAATCTCTTGTTCATCACTACTTTCTTGAATTATCTCGTATTGTGGATCAGGTGATGGTGTGTCTGATGATTTGGACATTTCTTCATTTGTCAGTTGTGGTCAAACATCAAATTAATTGAAGTGTCAGTCAATTGGCTCTCAAATTACTAAACATATGATAACTGAGTTCAACACTAATGTGAGTAATATTAGACTCAATGATGCACTCAATGCACGTGTATTTCACAGTTATTATAACTAAATGTAAACAATGTTTTCAATCAAACATTCAATCATTAAATTCAATACAATTGTCACTAATTGTATGAAACAAACCATTTATAATAATGTGAGACAACTGTCTTCAAGTCATGACATGCCAGACGATGTCTTTGAATTACCACCATTGATGCGATTCACACCTCGAGGAATGCCTAATGTGTTAAAAACATTGAAGAATCAGTTTTTTACGTTTTGGTTGATTAGACCAATGATTGACAATGACTTTCAAATGAATATTTTCCTTAATGGCGCCAAACAGGCCTTATCTACCATTTCTTGTAATTTGGCCAATGATAACATCGATGGCATTCAAGAAATGCTTACCAAAGAAGCTTACGATGAGGTGAAGACTAATTTAGCCAAATATAGCCCTCAAATGAAAGAACGACTTAAAGTGAATGTCGAAGACATCATCTTTTGTTTTCCATATGATATTAGTGTCGAAAGATTGTCATCTGATTCAGCGATCATTAAAATATTTGTTGTCTACGATTGTATAGTTGGACTTCAAGATGTGGTGCGAGATATGGCTTTCAACCGCAAAGACCTGAATCTGAAAACTTTTTTTGGTTTTGATAAATATCTCGAAAACAAAATTTGCTGTAATTATGAGTTTAAACGACATTATGTTAAAGGAAAGGATAGTCAGTGGATAGTAAACAAGTTATTACATATTAAGGACAGGGATGTACTTAAAATGTATGGTTTGTTTAAAAGATAAACAATTTATTCAATTGTAATATTTGTATTTATAATTGTAGTTAATTTAGAATAACTTTAAAATTATTACTGCTATTTGATAATATATTTATGATAAATATAATAATTTACATTTTAAATACTAATCAATATTATATACTGATAGTTAGTATTCAATGTTTTATTTACTGTACATACATTTTATTGTAATTGAGAATAACATTAAAAATATAGTAATACTGTATAATAAACTTAATAAATAATTAAATTATAGTAAAGATATGATTTATAAACTTACGTTAATATCAAGAAATTTAATACTATAGTAACTACAGTATAAATAGATAAGGAGACACTTGACGTTGCGATAAATAGCAGATTTACGGTAATATCAAATTACTATTTTTCATTATAATAGTAAATCAAATTTAATAATTAAGAATAAGAAATATAAATAAAATTGATTTATTGCTAATTATTACCAAAAGTATGCAAAAGCAATAAAAACAAAATGATTTATCCTATTTTAATAGGTTAATGGGATTTTAATTTGAATTTAGGTAATGGATTCAGTATTTAAAATATTAAATCAATTTATAATCAAAAGTATTTATTGTAATAATTTGATAAAACAATTGTCGATAGACTGATCTTATAAGAAATTGTTCTTAAAGTTTATCCATATATGAGTCTAAGTCTGGAAGTGAATCCTTAAGACCTTTACGTTTTCGGGTGTCCATCACGACCTGCCACGGGCGGGACTTGCCGTCGGTTGGATCTCCGGGTAGAATCTGCCAGTGATCAAACACGCACTGCGGGAAGGCCTGTCCACCCGTATTGGATCGTAAATCAGCAGTGAATCCGAATGATTCATTGACGGGAAGATAAGCCTTGACCTGAAACATAGGAGTTCCAGTCACTTGATTCTCTTCGACAACATGTCCTCTTCTTCTGTTTAATACACCGTAAATGCCACCGACAGCCGATTCAGGACATTGAATCTCAACGTTATAGACGGGCTCAAGAAGTCGTGGAGCAGCTGTCAAAATACAAGCATAAAAGCAACGACGAGCTGTTGGGATAATTTGTCCGCCGCCGCGATGAATGGCATCGGCATGAAGTGTCACATCGTGAAGATTGAATCGGACGCCTCTCATATTCTCTTCGCACAATACACTCTATTGATAATAATATAATATATCATTAGTTATAAATTAAAACCATTTACTCAAACCACTTCCTCTACCTCTTTGGTGGCCCATTGGAATCCAGCGACAACACTATCCTTGATTTCGTTTAGATATTGGACTCCTTTAGTAACATCACATAATAGATTAGGACCGGTTCCTTCGGGTCCAAAGGCCCAGATTTTTCGGGCTTCAGTTGCGTCCCATTCATATTTCTCGGCCAAATAACGAGCTCTGGCCTTAAATTCATCCTTTGGATTAACTTTTCCATCATCAATGTCTTCAGGAAGACCATCAGGCATTGGCACGGCTTTCATGTAAAGACGATTGTGTTTGTTTGGAGATTTTGATAGACACATAATATTGGATTCTTCTGATACTGTTTCTCTGTATGTAACCACAGGGTCTGATGTCTTAATGGGGATCTGTGCGTGATCTTCTTCCAAATCTTTAAGACAGATTTCCAAATGCAATTCTCCAGCACCGGCAACAATATGCTCTCCAGACTCTTCATTAAAACATTGAACCATAGGATCAGATTTAGCCAATCGTTTCATTCCTTCGACCAATTTTGGCAAATCTGCCGGATTTTTAGGCTCAACCGCTACGCGCACAACAGGACTCACTGAAAACTTCATAACTTTCATGTTATGAGCGTCTTTGAATGTCGACAGAGTTCCTGTCTTAACAAGAAACTGATCCACACCGACCAATCCACAAATGTTACCACAGGGCACGTCCTCAATAGACTCTACGTTACGACCCATCATAAGAACTGTGCTATTATTAGAATAAATAAAACAATATTAATACTTAAATCATTGCAAATAATATATTAAATATCAACCGTTGAATGGCTTTCTCAACCAAATCCTCCTTCTTTCCGGGAACATAGTTGGGTCCCATAATTCGCACCTTCTGTCCGGATGAGACAATACCAGAGAAGACACGACCAAAAGCATAGAATCTTCCCTTATCAGAGGTCGGAACCATTTTCGAGATGTACATCATAAGAGGTCCTTCAGGATTGCAGGTCTTAATAGCTATAAAACAGTTTACAATTAGCAACTAATCATTTGTAACAAATGGTAACAATCAACGTACCAACAGCTGCTTCATCGTCATGTGGTCCTTCATAAAGCATTTCCATTCTATACTTCTGTGCGGTGATCGGTGACGGCAAATGAATGGCTATCATCTGAAGCAATGAGTCACCGGCCGGAAGCCAAGTTCGCATCACAACCTTTAACAAGTCTTTGCCTTCTTTGTCTTTATCGTCTCCCTTAAGAGTGACATTGATTTTCTCCAACAACTTTGGAATCTCATCCTTCTTGAAGTTCATGATATTATCGAACACTCTGAAGATGGGCTCCAATACAAACATACAGAAGGATCTAACATATCCGTCCTCATACTTCTTAGACCATTTGCGAGTCTTTGGGTTATAAAAGTTTTCGCCCCACAGTCTGTTCATTAGCTTTTCGGTGTCGATCTTAAACTTTTCGGCGTACATCTCAGAGAACTGTTTCAAAGTAAAAGCCCATCCATGAAGTCCTGATCCAAAACCAACGCTACCTTTTGATGGGTCGACCTTAATGTCACCCATAGGACCCGATTCGTCGGCATAAGTGGCGATAATTACGTTAACAGTTTCAACAATACGAGCAAACTTCTGGTAAAGATCCTCTTTTTCCAGTTGAAGTGTAAGCATTGCTAAATCCATTTTATTCATAAAGACTACCGGTTTTATTCTCTCAGCAATGGCCTGACGTAAGACAGTCTCAGTCTGAACACAGACACCTGTTTTGTATAAATAATTAGTTAAATAAATTTAATCACTATATATATATATATATATATATTAAGTATGCCTTACCTGACACACAATCAACTACAACGAGTGCACCGTCAGTGACGCGCAAAGCTGCTGTTACTTCAGAGCTAAAGTCCACGTGACCGGGACTGTCGATCAAATTAATTAAGAAACCTTTTTCTTCTCCCGACTCCTTCTGATCGCCAGCTTTGATGAAAGTCATGTCCTGTTCTCTCATTTCGAAGAACATCGAAATGGCGGTCGACTTAATTGTAATACATCTTTCCTGTTCGTCCTTTCGGGTGTCAGTGAATCGCATTTCGCCGGCCTTAGAGGCGGCAATGATACCGGCCTTTGATACCAAAGAGTCTGTCAAAGTTGACTTTCCGTGATCTACGTGTGCGATGACAGACATATTGCGGATATTCCGCTTCTTGTTCATCATCACACGGATCTCGTCGACCGTGAAGTTCACCTATCAATGACATTACATATCATTACAATCAATGGTTAACCATTATGTCATACAATCGTAATGACATTTAACTGATGCCAACAGTGATTAACATTCAATACATGCCATGCTTTCTATGGTAAGCAATGGCTCTCAACAACGTGTCTCACATTTGGTCACATAATTGACATTTAAATCATTTAAATTATTTCATCAATCAATTGATACGATTGTTGACATATTAAGACATGTGTTAACATTGATTACATACCATTTTGTCGTTGATTTAGTGGACAATCAGTTTTAATACAACAGTAATGACAGGCAATGAACCAAACGGTTAGACAAATGCCAGAAAAGAGAGAGAAGTCGTCACTCAATCGTACTATTAATGCCTTAATGGCGATAATCAGTCCAATCGTTAGCCAATCAGAGAACTGCAATTGTATGACGTTTGGGGCAATCAAATGAAGTCAATACTGTTTAGTTGCCCTACAATGTCATCGATGGTTGCAATCGATTGTCTAAACTGTCGATTCATCGAAACCGGTGTTGAGCTCCACGTGTCAGTCAAATGGCATTTAAAGGCATTTAATGGCAACCAATGGTATGACAACCAATCAATTGACTCAATCTATACTTTACTTGAATTTATGTATACTTTTAGACTGTTTTTCTCCAAATCATTACTTAATGAAAACAATTGGTTATAAAGACTTAATATGTTTTGTTGACCACTAACTCAACCATACATTGGACTCATATTTGAAGAAACAATCATAACATTCATAATAATTATTAAAAAATGGTTTTTAAAACATTAGTGTTTTGTTTATTAAGTATATCATTGAGTGGTATAGTCGTGACAGAAGAAGAGGTGGTAACTCCGGCCAGACTTCTGATAGAGAAACAGATTCTCAACAAATATTTGGTCGAAAGCCGAGACATTGTTGTTAACTATAATATCTTTAACGTCGGACAGAGGTATTGATTGGTGTCAACAGTTTTATTGATCAACTGATGCCATAATTGATGAGTTGTCCCGTTTGTAGTGCCGCTGTTGATGTGCACATCGCGGACAGCAGTTTCCCGGCGGAACACTTTGATGTGGTCAGTGGTGCTCTCAAAGTGACGATCTCACGATTGGCGCCGTAAGCAAAGTACTTGTTTGTTTAAAACAGTCTTAAGCTATTTGAATTGTCTTTCAGTGGATCCAATTTAACGCATACATCAGTTGTTCGCCCGAAGATCGGCATTTGGGGCCGATTTAACTTTACGGCCGCTGAAGTGACTTATTTACCTATTGAAGACTCAAAGGACATTCAAGTGGCCTACACTTCTGAACCGGGAGAGGGTTTCATTGTTTCGCTTAAAGAGTTTGATAGACGGTTCTCACCCCATGTGGTTAGTATAAGAGTAATGATAAGTAATTTGATTACCTGTAATACATTAATATAATTAATGTTAAAACAGTTGGATTGGGCGGCATTTGCTATCATGACTTTGCCATCACTTGTCATACCATTCCTGTTGTGGTACAGAAGTAAAAGCAAATACGAGTCAATAGTATCAGCAAAACTTGCGAACAAAAAACATTAGTTTTGCCATTAATTAAAATAAAAAGATTTTTATTAAAAGTTTATTCAATTGTATTTTATCTTAATATAAATTTTTATAAAAAAAAAACATTGTATAACAAAATATATCTAACTATACATATAATTATAAAATAGTGTAAATAATTTAAAGCTTTGCTCTTGTAGTCGGAGTTGCAAACAATACGTTTATCTTTTGTGGTATACTTGTATCACCCGATACTTTGATTCTTCGGCACGAAATAGCCTATAATTGACAAGAAATTATATTATTGATAAATGTTAGACAAAACAATTAAAATGTATTAATTTTACGTCTTGTAAATTAAGTCGATTGTATGTAAGTCTGACGAAGTCGTCGTCATCAATGGTAAGAATACAATATTTACTATCAGGTAATCCCCGATCGAAAACTCCGGTCAATTTGTTTTTAGTAAAATCCAGAGCTGTATTAAATATTTTTAAAAATATTAATATAAATCTAGTTTAACGGTTAGATTTCTTACTCCATTGCGATACAGATTTGTTATCTTTAGTGATATCAAAGCCAATAAGTGTAGGCAATTGAGTGCATAGTTGAGGCAAACGAACTAATCTCTGGACTAATTCAATAATCATTGATTCACTTCTTAATCCAGGGATAACACTCTAAACAATTGATTGAATATAATTTGTTTAAATAATTTTTTATCAAAACATAATAAACAAAACACACTGTTTTAAGCATCATATCAGTCAAATAGGGTAATTCCGGTGCTTTTCCAGCTTTTTGTAAGTCCATCCAAAGTGAATTGAGTTTTTGAAGAAGCATTATATTGCCCTTAATTTTCAACTTTCCCATCATAAATGCCTATCAAATTTGAGTAAATCATTTAGTTATTAATATATGTGTAAATTAATACAATAAAAATACAGACCCGTTGGGGATTCAATTTTCCAACCATTAGCTTAAGGAAATCGTCGTCTTCTACGGTCACCAAACAATCTGATTTTCCGTTCTTTGGCGGACCAATATATACATCACCTTCAGGTCGTGATTTATTATCGGTTGCTTAACATAACATAATATAACATAAGTTTATATTAAATAAAATATTAAATAAATTCTTACTCCAAATGGTCTTCAATTTTCCGTCAATTGTTATATTGAATTGAAATACAACTCTAAGACTTCGGACAAGTTCTGGCTCTTCATGCATACGATTTTTAAATACATTAAACACAATATCACATTTGAGTCCAGATGTAGGCACTGACTACAATGTATATAAAAAATATATATTTTATAAAATAATTAATTATATTAATATATGATTTCAAATCAATGGTTTACTCACTTCTAATAGAGCCAAATCATCTGTCGAGTTATTCTGTGAGGAATTTGTTGATACCATTGGTTTTTCATCTAAACTAACTGATCCGCGCGGCGCCTCTTCAGACCAAAGTTGTTGTAGCTTTTGTGCGGCTAATATATTGCCAGAAATTTTCAGTTTTCCGCCCATAAAAGCCTTGATTTTAAAATTTAAATGAGTAAAACATAAATGTATTTGAGATAATAATTTATATTAATATTTCCAATTGATTATCAATTTTAAAACCATACTTTCATAGCGTCTTCACGACCTTCAAATATATTGACTGCTGCTTCTTCATCTATAATAAGAGTACAGTCAGCTTTTCCTGTTTTAGGACTACCCTTATAAACAGCTCCGTTACCATTTTTTAGATCAAGAGCTACAACAACAAAAATTATACGGTATTAGATAATATATAAAAATTACTATTTTTTATAGAATTATATATTAATTAATAATTATTAGAGAACTCACTCCAAACAGTAAATACTTTGTTATTTTTAGTAATATTCCACTGATAGACAGTTTTAATAATAGGAACCAACTCTTTATGATCACTAATCCTAACTGATAGCCATCCGTCAAATATCTTATCAATTCGTGAATTATGTTCATCTCCTCCTCCACCTGACTGTCCATCATTACTACCATAAGGAGCGCAAACAAATTTAATATTATTTTCCAAATTTTCTCCTTTTATATCATCCATTGAATAACTTTCTATTTCTTCGACATTTAAAGCATTGTTTGTATTTATGACATTTGAATTTAGTATAAAACTATTATTTTCCTTCTAATAAATAAATGTAAAGATATTTTAAATACATTAGTATACACCTAATATATAATATAAAACTTTATAAATGTATAAAGCAAACCTCATTAAGTCTAAATTGATTTGAATTGTTGTCTAAATAATCATCAGATCTTCTATTGTGATTGATGTCCACATAAGCGCCTTTAATAATCTGTTTTCCCGTTTCTTTAATAAAGCTCTCAAAATGTATTCGTTTGCCTTCTTTCCACATCCGAGTTTCAATGGTCTGACCCGGAGTTATGGGTCCAACAAATCGGGTTTTAATACAATCAAATAGACGAACGTTATAATCGGCATATTGTTTCAAAACGTGTCTCAAAGCATAACCCATTGTACACAAGCCATGAAGTATAGGATTTTGAAAACCTCCAGCCATTGCAAATATCGGATCGATATGTAATGGATTTTTATCACCACATAGACGATAGAGAGCCGCCTAAGATATTTATTTATTTATTTATATTATATTTGTTTTCACATAAATTAACTTCAATTACCTGATCAATAGATGTCTTTTCTAAAATTATAGCATCCGGTGTTCTTTTAGGTGGTTCCACTATAGGTATAATGCTATTATCATCACTTACTCGTTTTCCATTGAAATTTCCAGCACCAATCATAAACAATGATAATTGATTGTAAAATATGAGTGAATCCGTTTCATCATAAGTGTTAACTTTAAATTAAATATTTTCATTTAAATAATAATTTTATATTAACTTTATATTACTTAAAACATTTAGATCATTACCTCCTATAATAAATAAAGCACCGGATCCCTTATCTAACACATCAATTATTTTAGGAACTGATTTAAGTGAACCAAATGGAGGAATTGGTTTCAAAAGCTGAAGGTATTGTTCCCCGTGAACTAACTAATCACATCATCAAAACAATCAACAAATTATAAAATTGAAATCTTTTTAAAATAATTAATAAAATACTTTAGTCACATCTCCTGTTATATTGAGGGCAATCATCGCGTCTTGCATTAGGGAACTATTCATAGCAGCACTAAGACTAACAACTGCACCATAAGTGGGAATCACTGAATATTCTTCATTACATTCATAAAGAAAACTCAAATGTTTTGATTCTTGAGTCGACACACCAACTGTTAAACCAAACAATCATTTCAATATTTGAAAAATAAAAAAAAATATTTTACATTAAATTACCTGATAATGCATAGAGTATAGTATCATCAATGGTATAATTATGAAGTGTTGAATGATTGGATACATTATCTGAGAAATCAATTTCATCTTTCTTATCATTTTTATCTTTAATTGAATTAACCAAAGTTAAAGTATGTTCTGTATTAAATAAAAAATGTAATAACAATTAAATTATAAATTAATCGATTTGTTGAACTATCAAACCTTGAAAGTTATTAGGAGATGTAAATCGATTCATATCAGTAATTTGTTGCCAATTATCTCTAATGGCTTCTATACTTATAGTATCGGGTGGTGTAAATATTTTGCCGTCTGAACGCATCCACTGATATTTGCCAACAAAACCTCCAGCAGTTTCGAACAGACCGCCTGTTTCGGGACAGTCCTCATGTGAAAGCCAGGCCACCAAAGGAGCCACATATGAAGGTTTGAAATACTCCATAAAAACTAATCATAATTAATAATAACGATATGTATATTAAAATTAATGATTATCGATAATTTGAAAGTATTCATACTTTCTGGAAATATATCCTCAGTTAGTCTGGATGCAGCTACCGGTGCAATAGTGTTACACTTGATGTTATATTTTGCTCCTTCAACTGCTAATGTATTGCTGAGTCCTACTAAACCAAGTTTAGCTAAATGTATAAAATATCAAAATAACATAAAATTTATTGATACCAAATATAAATAATAAACAATTACCTGAACTGTAATTTGTTTGACCAAAATTTCCGTAAATACCAGCCGGTGATGAAGTCATAACAATTCTATATAACAGTCAAAAAATATCAATTTAATAGAATTTATATATTAATATTAAAAAATAAAAACTAATATATGTGTGGATTAACCCAACAATCATATATTTTTATAATTGTTTTGTAATATTATAAATGGATTTTCATCAAATGTCATCATTTTTACAAAAATATAAAGTATGAATAATAAATGTTACGGTAATATAATTATTTCCTAATGTTATGCTATTTATTATTGTATTAATATAAAAACAAAATTGTTAATATAATTTGACAATTTATAATAAATAATAATAAAGTTAATATTAAATTGGTCAGACCGGCCATATTTTTGTTGTTGAAAGTAAGGCCAGGCAGCTTTGGTCACTAACATTGACCCTTTCAGGTGTACATTATGTATAATATCTGTAATCAACAATATAATAGATATATTGATATAAAGTATATATAATTTATAAATAGTTATTATAGAAATATATGCAATTAATACCCCAATCCTGTTGAGTCAGTTTTGTAAATGATATGTCGCGAAGTATTCCCGCGTTGTTTATAAGGATATCTTTACAATTGATATCAAATTAAATTATTTTATTATATATTTTTATAAATAATTTTAAATGAAAGTTCAAATTTACCGATACGTCCAAAGTTATCGATAGCAGTCTTAATAATCTTATGCCCCTCTTCTACAGAGTCTAGTTATACAAAATGTTTGATTAATTTATTTGAAAACATTTAATTCAGATATTATTTAATTATTACTATAGTCTGCCACAGCTTTTCCTCCCCTACTTATGATGTCTCGGACCACTTCATCAGCAGCTGTACTACCAGTTCCTTCTCCACTACGACTGCCGCCCAAATCATTGACTAAAGTTTAATAAAGTTTTTTTTTACAATAAACGAAATATCAATTTCTAATGAGAATTGGGATATGAGTTAACATTTGATAGGTATCTGTGTTTTGGAGGACTCGAGGGCTGACACGACAACACTCTTTTTAAGATATAAATCGCTTAAATATGTTATGTTTAGCTCTTTTAATAAACAGGTAAATGCTCTTATAGTATAGTATACTAAGTATAGTGATGTTTAGTATAGTTTACAAAAATAGCAAACAAATATTGAATACAAATAACAGGTTTTCTTTATTTTTGGACTAAACATAAATAAGTTCATTATGTCATACAATATATAATTAGATGATTTGAAATTACTTGAAATTATTGTTTACATCCTATCAGTCATTTAAGAGCAATTAATATCTATAATATGTTTACAATTCTAATAAATACAATTAGCAATGATTTTTTTATTAAATAAAGTAACTATTTTTTCCAAAATTTTGAAAATAAAAAAGATTTAAAAATATTAATTATTTCTTATACACTGATATAAGATAATCAAAATTGGGTTTTCATTATAATATTTTCCCAAAAGGCCAACAAAAGTTTCATAAAGACTCATATTTTATGATATAAAAGCAAATCACAAATAAATTTAATGTTATTTTTGTTAAATAAGGAAAAAATAATGAAACTATAATTTCTAGTAATTTCATAAAATCGTTTTTTATATGCATTATAATATAGTTTTTTCACTATTATTATATTATGATCTATTGATGTTATTTACTGCAAATAATAATAAAAAAATATATGTTTAAAATTATTATAATAAAATAGAGACAAATTATTAGTTTGACTACTTTTTGCACTATTGTAATACTGTATTTAAATATTTGATTTTTTTATCATAATATAATTTAAATTATAATATACATTAAAAAAATTTAACAAAACTTTAATATATGACATTTTTTGTTGGGTTTATTGTTTGTACTAAAAGTACTTAAATACAAAACTTAATAATATCCTAAAAAATATGGTTTGTAATATTAATATATTGTAAATTATGAATTTCATATTAAAATTAAATTTTGCAATTTTAGTGAAATAAAATATAATTATAATTTATATCAAAAATTTTATCTTAAGTTAAACAAAACATCAGACAAAACCTATAATACTAGACATGAATTGTGTGATATATGTATAGACTATTGAATTGTCACAATTTGTTTAAGTAATTATTAATTAGTTTTATTTTATTTTGTGTAATAAAAAATCAATAATTTGTTGCAACTTTTTCAGAGCACAGCACAGCTAAGTAATTATTGGACTAAAGATATAAATAATATCTTAATATAAGTCATACAAAAATTTCAATCAAAAGTAGCCCTAAATATTTGCTATCATTTTTAGGTCACAAATATTTAAACCATTTATTTTTAATGTCTTTCAATTATAGATACAAATTGACAACAATTGAATGCAATGTATATAATTAATTATTAACAATTAAATATATAAAATAAGCATGCTCATTAACTTGACATAAACTTCGATCATTAATAAAAAACTAATTAAATATTTTATATAAATAGATATAATATAAATATAGTATTAAAAACATAGAAATAATTTGAATTCATAAAAGTATTAATGAATTAAATGATAATTCATTGGAAATTAGTTATCAATTGTTGTCAATACAAGACATACCTACAAGTGATGCCCCTTTCGATGATAACAACAGTGCGTACTCTTTGCCCAAACCTATTGATGGATACAATAGACTGTCATTTGATTTATGCCAATAATTTGCATATAATATCACTAAAAGTATGACCTCTGGCAGCGCCGGTAACCACAGCCACCCGTCCATCGTATCTCAAGTGAGACATTATTTAAATTTGATTCAATTGATGATTACACTCAAGTATTTATATAATTATTAATATCACATATAATTTAGCAATTGATGAATAAATTTATTAATAAAACATTTATATCATATCATTCATACAGAGTATAACTTATCATAACTTTAATCATAAATAAATAAATGAAAACAAAACTCAAAATCCCTTTAAAAGTGTTGTGTATTTTACACACAAACAGTCAATAGTATAATACAAACAGTGTTGACGTCAGTAATAATTTATATGCATTTCTATGAAATCTAAGATCCACTCAATTATCAGTTAAATACATCAAATGCTATGCTTTTAATAACATTAAATTAATTTTCATATATATTTAAATATTATTTGATTGCTTTATTTTTTTACTAATTAAAAATACACTTTTATAAATTTAAAACATTGATTTTACAATGAAATTAACAAAATTGGGTCAAACATATTGACTATATTTTTAATATACTTAAAACTTGCGATAAAATGAATTTCAATTTAAAACAATACTAAATGAATATAACATTACAAAAGACCGATAGAATAGGTGCGACCGTTTGGGTTATGGATTGCCGATGGAATCGGATCAGTGATCGCCCACTCATACCAAATCTGTCGACGACTAGTCATTCGCCAGTAATCCACTTTAAATGTCTGACCGGCCTTTAGAAACATAGGACTGAAAATTGGAAAATATATGGGAAACCAACTAAACATTCCCGATGTATGAGTCGAGGGGACAGTCGATAGTTTGATATTTCCATAGAGAGTGGCTTCAAAATAACCGGCAAATCCGTGGCAAACGGTGTCCACTTTGACTTCAAAATCAAGTGATTTGAAGCGAGAATTGTCTCTTTCACTTGGCTTTAGTGTGAGGTTGTTGTGACAAAAAGTGAAGAGAGGTTTGGGGGCATCGATGCTATAAAAGTTTCTCATAAACACCACATAACCCGTTTCAAAGACACCGTGCGCTGGTTTATCCCTTTCGCGAAGCTGTGCGGCCTCACTGTAAAGTCTTTGTGACTGAATTGGTGCTAAATATGAAGTATAAGAGATCGGAATAGAAACAGCCGTTTCCTTCACATAAGACCAAACGCCATCCAAACACTCCGGACTCAATTCGTTGTCACCAAAAGAGCCTAAAAGTTCTGATATAACGATATCAGCCTTTTTAGATGATTCCCAGTCTCTCATATCACAGGCAATGACATCAACTTTGGAAAATTCAAGTCCTTTCTCTCCTCCCCATCGCTGATCACGAAGTGTTCGTAACGTCACCACAGCGTTGGGGTTCTTCTCGACGGCAAAAATTTGAACTTTCTTTTTGCACTTTTGTGACGCAGAAATACTCGCCTCAACTAACGGTCCTCTTCCGGCGCCAACAACCATAATAACTCTATAATATTTACAATCAATTAATAGTTATTTAAAATCACTAAATAATTGTAATAATAATTACATTTCTTCATTGCTTTGTAAATCACTCAACGCTTGATTTATGGCCTAAAAATGATGACAAAAATGTTTAAATGTTTAAAGTATAAAATGGATTATTTGAAACCTTTCCATATTCTTCATATTTTATGGGATCCTTTTCAAACACCTCATAAGTACACGACTCCAAGTTATCCATCAATGGCTAAATTAAGAAAATATTAGTTAATTAATTAATTACCGGTAATTTAAATGACTTCAACAAATTACTTGAAGTGGTATTTGCAGAAAGTCTTCATAGCCTCGAGCAAAGGTGGCCACCGGATCGCTTGGCAATTGAGTCAAACGAATGTGATCTAAATATTGGACATAATGTCTAATATCTGTATGTCTGTTGTGACCTTTGATTATAAAATGGATATCATTTGACATTTTTGTCATTAAGAGGCGTACAAACAATTGATGAGCTTTTGTTAAGACTGGATAGACTTTACGATTACTAAGAAACATAGCGGTTGATAGGAAAATAGCCTTAACGGGCTCTCCAGCCCAACGAGCGATCATATTATCATCGGGTAAATCACCGTTAAGTTCGAGAGCAACGGCCAACCTTTTATCAGTTGCAATGAGACTTCTAAGACGATTCCACCAAAACCAAGTGTCTTCACTGTCATTGTCATTATCTACCAAATCGTTTCTCCAGTTTTTCGAGTTTTCATTCGGTGATTGAACTGGAATTTGAATCCAAAATTGAGGCAAATTTTGAAATCCACCCGAAAATGTGAGCCGAGAATTGATAATTCTCGCCAATTGGTTGATGCCATCAATAGTAGTGGGACATTGAAATAGCAGAGCCGGTACACCTAAATGTACTGCATATGTAATCTCGGCCTCCATTTTGGTTATATTCTCTAAAGTATTGCTTAAGAGATCAAAGTCTGACATAATTCCCACCACAAGAGTATTCCAATCTAATAACGAACACAACTCTAAGATAATTCATTTAATACTTAAATTAATAATAAAATATTACCACTACTTGACAGCTGAAGATCACTGTATGGAGTGAAGTCATGAGATCGTGGATGAACTAAATTGGTTGCAATAAAATTAAAACTAAATGTCAAAAATAAAAAAAGCAATATTAAACAAATGTATACTTAAATATGTTATCAAATTAAAAATACCCGCTATTTGTAGCCAATTGTATGGCTGATGGCAAGTCTTGACAATGATTTACATAATATCCACATTTGAGTTCTTTGGTGGACATTCTTCGGAAGCTATATTGAGATAAATATCTGGACATCATTTTTAATCTTTCAATAATTTGTTAATTATTTTTAATTTTACCAAAATTAAGTATTTTAAACAATCTTATAATAAATGTCTGTAATTGTTATATTATTTATTAATTTTTATCGTAATTTGTTTGATTAATTCATTTATTTAAATGCAGTTCAATATACTGTATTATATTATATCTCGTGAAATACATTACAATAATTATTATGCAAAACCTTTATCGTGTTATTTAAGCCATTATATAGTCTTTTAGTATTATTTAATAATTAAAACAATTAATATAATAATTATTTCATTTGTTAAAATATTATCTGATATTACAGTATTGTATTTAATAAGTATAACTAATAATTGCTATAATTGTTTGATATTGATATAATTAATAATTAAGTTTTCATATTATAGTCATTTTATAGCAATTAATTTAATTCTTAATCATTGATCTAAAACTGATACCTAAGTCAAGTCTGAGTCTAATTATAATACATGTTATAAGTTATAACATATAACATACATCTTCTCTGTTCTCTATTATCTATTATTTTATTTCAAATCATAATAAATGACTACTTTTATAATCATTTGAGTAATAAATAGCATTTTCAGAAATAAACTTTAATAGCATTAATTACTTCGTAAAAATATCCCAAATATTCATTACTAATATACAGAAACATTGGATGAGTTTATGAATAAATTAAGTTTTACTATTAATTAAATAATTTAAATTAAATTTACTATAAATTATTATAAATAACCGTATTTTTCGTTCTTAAGTCAATTTTAGTAGATTTGACATTTAAACCCAACTTTTCAGTCAATTTTTTGTTATTTTCCGATTTTATTTAATCGCATCTTGAGATCCCAAAAGATGAAGTTTTGACTACTTTTCGATTACTACACTAATGGCCTGTCATTAGTTATTTTGTCAACTTTTTTCAAAACTAGATTTCGTAATTAACAACCAATTCTTTGACAATTAATTTATTTTCCATTTTTTTGCCTAAAGTCAGGTTTATTCTGGACTTTATCCGGATTTTATGATTTTTATCTTTAGATCATTCCTTTAGATAATGTGATCCTGACTTTGAGTATTTGATTATCACTGAAAATGACGACATTTTCAAAATGCATTTTTAATTAAAAATGTTAATTTTACTAAATTTTGTTTTGTATGAAAATAAATATAAACGTAATTCAAATCTTTATTAAATAACTTCAAAAGTTCATCCAATGTTATGTAAAAATTATAAACAAAATATTTAGTTTATAATCTTTATAAGTAATATTATATCTAAAATAATCATTAATATAAGTATTATAATAATGTTTTATTATATTTATCTTATACTATATATTTCTAATCTTTTTAAAAAATATTCCTAATTTTAACGGTTTGACTAATGCTTCTTAAATCACTCTTATTCTAAATTTAAGAGATTTATATGAATTTGTATTTTTATAATTTGGCTGTCATTATGTCTGTTACTAAACTAATGTAATTTTATTTTAAATTAATTAATAAATTAATAAATTATTTTTCATTTTCTAACCAAATCTGAAATCAGAATTTGAAAATTTGCAAAAAAAAACATTCGACAAACAGACAGACAGACAGACACATTCCAGAAAACAAACCTTTTAAAGTTTGTTTGAAAATATTTATACGAATTAATGATTATTATAATACTCTATATTTGTTAGATTTCTAGAAAATATTTTAATTAAAATATTGTTCGGTGTCTCAGAGTTAGGCGTGTCATAAGTGTCCCTGAGTTAGGAACAGTTAGCTTTAATATATAGACTGGAAGGGTATATAGAAAGTACTGTATATACTATTTGTGCTATACTTAACAGCCAATAATATGCAATTATATAACTAGATTAGTAATTATACTGTATATTACACATAAATATAGAAAACTAATCAAAACATATACTCAATTGATATTCAGAAAGTAATAAATTGAAATCAATGCGGATCTGTATAATAGGTGCCGGAGCTGCCGGTCTGTGTGCGGCCCGACATCTCTCACAAAACAAAGAGTTTGAGTTTGAAATCTTTGAAAAGACTGATAAAATCGGTGGCATTTGGAACTACACTGATTTGGTAGACTTGGATGAAAATGGACAACCAATACATACGAGTATGTATAAGCACATGAGGTATGCATTTATTATAATTTCATATTTTGTTAATTATTATTAATCAAACCTTCATTCAGGACTAACCTTCCGATGGAAATCATGGCATTCCCTGACTTTCTAATAAAATATGAGACATCATTCGTATCGCATACTCGTGTCCTTCAATATCTCAATGAGTATACAAAACATTTTCAATTATATCAATATATTCGGGTAATTATTATCTATTAATTTATAAATACTTTCCATAAGACAAACTATTCTGTAATGAATTTATCGTTTTTACCACAAAATAGTTTAATCACTTGATATTAAATGTCTGGAGAAATGAAAATGTTTGGAAAGTTAGTGTAAAAGATTTGAATACAAATCAAATTAGTGATAATACTTATGATTCAGTTTTCGTTTGCAACGGAAGATATTCAAAGCCTAAGATTCCTAATATTAAAGGCTTAGAAAATTTTAAGGGAAAAGTAATACACAGTCATAGCTATAGAGAACCGCAACCTTTTAAAGATCAGATGGTTCTGGTGTTAGGAGGGGGTCCGTCGGGAATCGATATCGCCATTGAAGTGGCAGATCAGGCAAAACAAGTCATTTTTTGTCACACAAATGATAAACCATTTATTAATTTACCCAAAAATATTAGACAAGAAATAAGTAATATTAAAGAAATCTCAGAAAACAAAGTTTTATTGAAAAACGACAATCATTTTACAATTAATGCTATTATATGGGCCACTGGTTATCACTTTGACTTCTCATTTCTTGACCAAAACTGTGGTATTAATGTTAATACTAATGGGAGAGTTGAAGGCATTTATTTACATTTAATTAATCAAAAGTTTCCCTCAATGGCTATATGGGCCATACCTATGACTGTTATACCATTTCCTTTATATAATCTACAGGTAATTCATAATCTAAATATTTAAACTATAAATTTACTACTATATACTACAATATTAAATTTATATTAAAATATTAGATCTTATTATTTATCAAATGTCTTACTCGACAATTAACATTACCGTCCATTGAAGACATGGATAAAGATACAAAACAAGACCTAGAAATGAGACAATCGCTGGGATTAAGTGAAAGACATAGTCATAAAATGAGTGGAAATTTATTTTTTCAATACTGCGATAAATTGTCACAAATTGCTAATATTGAGCCCTTTTCACAAGTTATGAGAAAACTTAATAAAGATATACATGTTATGCGACAAAATGATATAACCGGATATAAAAATGTAAATTTTCATATTATTTCTGATAAAACTTATATAATTAAGTGATTTCTAATTGAAATCTTAACTAATGTTTAATCTTATTATTAATACAGTAAAAGTTAAATCAGTAAATATATTACAATAATTTTTATATTAAAAATGACCCGTCTTTAATTAGCACTTAAATGAAAATATTATTCAAATAGACTATTATTTTATTATATAATAATTTATAATAAGCTATAATCTCTATTTTCAATTATCAATAAATTCATTTGTATTTGAAATTTAAACAAAATTGTCATAATTTATAAAAATGATATTTTTAGTCGTCTATAAAAAAACTGTTTGTCAAAATAAGTCTCATAAAAGTAGATTAATTGTATTCATTAAATATATATTCAATTATTAATTGTTTGTAATATAAGATAATTATCATATATTTTATAAACTATTATTAAATAAGATATATATCACTACAAACTGAGATATAATATGTTGTATAATACAGTATATGAATATAAAATTTATTACAATAAAAGTATCAATTTATAGTCTAATTTATATTTACGATGTATTCATAAAAATTATAACAACTATTTCATATGTTTATTAAATATCATATCATTTAAATGATATTTCAATTAATGTCAATATATTGATGTAATAGTAATACATATAAGACATTAATAACAATTGAATGCACACAAAAAACAAGTTTTTAAAACCGTATTTGAATACAAATCAATTTGTATTTAGAAATGTATTTAAATACAATTGTATAAATACAAAAAATATACAAAAAAAATTGTAATAAAATTGTAACTAATTGTATTAAAATACAAAAATAAATAAATACAAAATTTTTGTATTAAAATACAATTTTTTGTATTAAAATACAATTTTTGTTGAATACATTAATGACGTACTCAAATATCTCAATTATAAGTTGTAATATATGTTTAAATAGTATTATTTGTATTTCAATTGTATTTTGATACCAAATAAATATACAAAATTGTTGTATAATATCTTAATAACGTATAAAAATGAAAATAGTATACTATTATATGTATGACATGTGAGTTGAATCAATATTACATTAAATATCCGTTTGTTAGTAATTCAATGACTATTGATTGACTGTTTGCCTAAAAAAATAAATTATCAAATAGTATACTATATATGTATTATTAATTGATTTAATTATTTGATATGATTATTTGATTAATTGATTATTTGATTATTTGATTTTTGATGTCAATTATTTTCTCAAAAGGTATTTTCAATTAAACTAATAAATAGTATACTATTTGATAATTATTTTAATTTTTCTAATTTATTATTTTATAGAGAAGTTTCAGAGATTCACAATGAAGTAAATCATATTAAGTAATAGTGTTTAAAATATAATATACTATTAATATTGAAAATCATATTATAATCAATTTATTTTTATTGTAAATCATATAATTATTTAGTGATTATTTTATCAAATTATTGTCATTTAAAATTTTTGTTTTATTGTAATTATTTTTGAATATTTAATGTATTTTTTATATTTTGCATTATTTTATGTATATTTATAATTATATTGTTTGTAATAAAAAACAATTTATTTGATTATTTTTGTATTTGAATTCATTTTTATTTGTATTTTGTTTTGCACTTAATTACAAATGAGTTACAATAATATTGTATTGTAATACAATTTTTTTGTATTTTGGTTTTCATTACATTACAAATGAGTTACAGTATTATTGTATTGGACTACAATTTTTTTGTATTTTGATTTGTATTATTATGCAAATAGTATGCAATTGATTTTGTATTGTAATACAATATTTTTTGTATTTAATTTGTATCTCAGAATACAAAAAAAAATTGTAACTCATTTGTAACAAAACATCGAGAGTTGTATTTTAATACAAATTTTTAATTCTGTGTGATTCAAAACAATTAATTTCAATAATAATTACAAATTATTTAATCGACTAATTGTCTCATTTTATTGACTAATATTGTCAACACGTGTTCATACACTTTGTAATAACACGTGTTTAGTTAACATATAAATGCTAAACATTTGCTAAACAGTGGTCAAAGTGGTCACAATCTCTGCCGACTTTTTACTTTAATTTCAACGCACGTGTCGTTAGTTTGATGGGTAAGACTAATGTTAATATTGTTTATAATAACAAACTTACCATAAAATATAAGACGATTACACTAATTGTATAAATAATTTGATTATAAAAACTATGATTTAAATTAAAACAATTAAATAATAATCAAATGTTTTTAATGAGAAATGTATTCAAATGTATACACATGTGGTTCACAACAATGACATCAAATGTTAACACCAATTACGTTGACTTTAATTACAATTATATTTAATTATGTTTTATATAATTTAATTATTAATACTATTTCACACAAATTTTTAGTTTTTTTTAATTATATAAATAACAAATCAATAAACTAACTGTTAATAAAAATAATAATATAAATTTGATTAAAATATAACGTAAACTGTGAACAGTGTATTGAAAATTTAAATGTTTTGGCGCTAAACAAATAAATTTGAATTACGGTATGAATTGAGGAATTGCTAAAACATTTAATATTATTAATAAATTGTTGTTAAATAGGGTTTAATTTTGCGAATTCCTGTAATCGTTTTCTGAATAAAATATATAAATAACAATTAATATTAATTATCATTTAATTAAAATTAATTTTATTGAAAATATCAAACCTTAACTCTAAATCAATGCCAGAATTACGGTTTATTTCAATTGATTCAATACAGCGATTCATTTGACCAATCAATTGATGACAAAGATGTGGACACCATTGACACACATATTTTAAAAGACTAAATACTTTATCTCTTGAATGACTATTCATTAAATTGGTTTCAATATTATTGAATAAAACTCCATCGATAAGAATCCTATGAATCAAATCGTTAATAAAAAACAAATAAATTATATTTAAAATATTATTTAACTGACCTATCATTATGTTTCTCAACAAATATCATAATTATAGATTGAATTAATAAAAATATAGAGTTTTGAATGTTATTAGATAAATACATGGCATCAATAATATCTGTTAACACTTGAATCAATTGATTTTCAGTTAAATTATTGAAACAATCGTCGAGTAAATTGCTGTCAAAATTTTGTATTTGTTGGCAATAATTGTAAATCGCTTTTGCAATGAATTTAATATATTTCTCTTCATTAATCAATTGTGATTTCAACTTAAAACATGTGAATATAAATTTTAAGATCATTTCATATATATTTGAGTTAGTTTTGCTAAACAATTGGTTAAACTGAGCCAATACTTTGTCACTGATATCACTCCAAATTTCTACTCTGATATTAATAATAATCAAATAAAATGTCAATAAATTAAAAACTCCGGTTTCGTTGAGTTTATCGATTATTCTGGGCTGAAGACTGGCCATAAACTTGCCCTTCAATTTGATCCAATGTATCTTTGCATTTGATTCATTCAACTTAATAATAGTTGAAAATTGTTTATTCATTAATTTTAAGAATAAATAAAATGTATTTTCATTATAACTATTGTTACGATCACTAATTTGTGACAATTCATTGATTATTTGACTCCAGTTATCACTAGACTTAGGAAACAGTGACAACTCTTCACTACTTGTTTTGACAAAATTTTTGTTAAGATTTTTGATAAAATATTCAACAAATGGTAAAATTAGATCTGTGTTTGGCTTCCAATAACTACTCGATTCCGCACACAATCTAATAATAACTGTAATTTCATTGTCACTGACATTGGATTCATTTTTCTTTAAAAACTGATTTAATGTTTTCTGAAAAATCAAAGGAATTGGTTCTGAATTGAATTGTTGTTTCAATTGACCAAAAATGTTAAAATCAAATGTTTTAACTATATTCGTGACAAACCATATAAAATGTAGCGAAGAATTATCACAAGAATAATGACTTAAATGAATTGTTTTGAACCAATTTATTGGTATATTATCTTCTGAATTGGTATTTGGTATTAATTTAAAAGTCGATAAAACTGTTTCAAAGAATTGTTGGTTATTTTGATTATCACAACAATTAGATTCATTCATTTGATTGAATATATGTCTTAACAAAATAAACAATTCTTTAACACACAAACAGTCAAATACTGATAAATGGATGTAATTTAGCGATTGTTTTGCTTGTTTGAAGCGATTGACTGATAAAACAATCAAATCATATAATACTAAACTTATAATCTGTTTACTTAAAGGACTGCCAATTAAGTCATCAATTAAAGTGATGTCATTTAAAGTAATTTCGTTGTTTTTCTCTAAAATATATATAATTTCAATGGCTTTCCACCAAATGTCAAGACATGAGTGATAATAATTATAATGACTAGTCTTGTCATCACTAGTTATAGACGTTTGGATCTCTTCAGGCTTGAAGTTTGAGAGACGACCGACAAATAGTAACAGAGATTTCATTTGTTTTATAACTAAAAAACAAAAACAATTGTCATTAATAGACATCTCATTATTCCACTTCTTTAAGATACAAATTTCAAAGAGACGTCTTGTAATAAACATTAAGAAATGTGTGATTTCGTGTCGTATTTGATGGAAATCGGGCCTTCGGTCGTTCGGCTCATTTCGGTGGTCAACATTTACGGCCAAAGATTCATATCTTAGTTGATTCAAGTATTTCCTGACAACACATCCATTTAGTTATTAATTGCAATTATTATTATTAATATATGATATTTACTTAAGTAATGAAAACAAGTCTTGGATGAGCTCTTGTGTGATGTCATTGTATTTAATAGAAAATGTGAACAAATGAATGGTGTCTTCATGTGTCCAAACATTGCAATAATCATCGCTTCCCTGTAAAAGACTTCAAGTATTTGTCAATTAGTTTATGAAATAATAACATCAAAGACTTTTGAATACCTTTTCAAATGATTTGATCCTAAATATGAGTTTTCAATGCTTTTGTTGTTTGAATTACACCCAAAATAAGTCAACAATTGATTTATTGAATCAATCATTACTTTATATCATTTAAAGTCAATAATAATCAGTAAATCGTTTGTTATATTATTACTGTAAATAAAAACATATTTTGGCGCTAAATGTATGACAATATTAATGTGCAAAACATATTGCCATCTATTGATATATTATTGAATTATCATTTTTATAACATCTAATAAAATGAATGTAAATTTAATACTGTATTTATAATACTGTATATAACAGTATTATATTGAGTAGTATAGTGACCAACAGTTTTAGTTAATGTCCTGGAAATTACTAAAATTGTTGAATAAATTATATACACCTAATAATTATTTTGATAGTAATAAATTAATTTGAATGTATAAATTAAATTCAGTTAAATTTGTTATAAAACTATAAAAATCCTCGAAAAGTATTTAAATAAAATATACTTTAATTTTTCAATAGTTTTATTTAATCTTTTGATTGAATTGTCTGTCACTCTCAATCTAAACGGTTTGATAAATATATTAATATAAATACTATATTTTATTCAATCAATTTATTAAATGATATAAATAATTTATATTTTCATATTTTATTGAAATTTGTATGAATTAAGTATTTGATATAACAATATATATGTCCAATGAATTTAAGGAAGGCTTTTACGATGCGATTTAATAATTATATTATATTTTGTGTGAATAATAAATAAAATATTTTATAGTATATCTATGTATATATATATAAATATATATATATATATAAATATTTACAAATTTATATTAATGAAAACAATGATTTATATTTACAAATATTAAACTAATATATATTATGTATAAAATAAATCAATTATTTTGTCACCAAATGAAGATAAAAGTAAATTTACATTACATTTTAAATTTAACGAATGACTTCACAATGGTTTAAAAACTAATAAATAATTTCAGTTAAAAATGTAATCATTTGTTGAAAGCCATTAAATAATTGAGTGAATTTAAAATTATTTACAAATATATGGCACTTATAATACAATAAATTTGTCTAAAATTATGTTACAATTGATGTCATCTTAAATGATAATAAATGGCATTTTAAAATTCCTGAGAATTAATGAATACTTAAATATAGATAACAAATGGAAATGAGGAGCAGTTAGAGCACTGTCAGCACATAGTTGTCTTATACTGGACTATATGTCCATTAGCTATGGATCCATTGGATGTGGTGCTACTGATTTTGCTGCCTTTACTGCCATCAGATGACTGTTTACTATTACTGTTATGATTATTCATATTATTTTGTTGATCACTCGAAACATCTTTGAGTAGTTGTTCGTTGGAAAACTCGTCGATTGTGTCGATGTCGTAGTCCTCCCGAGTCATGGCTTCATCATCTTCTTCATTATCACCATTTTCTGTCACACATATCTCACGACTCAATGGAAAAAAATGAATGGTTGGGTCATCACAGGTATCGATCAAATTTTCTTCTGCATTAAAAGAATTTGATATTTGTTTCAACGGCATAGACATGTCGTCGACAATAGATTGAGACGAAGACTTGTGTTGCTTTAGTTGTGACTTATATTTTGAATAATAACTAACTTTAAGAAAACCTTCGTTCGTATCATTTAATAAAAATTCTATCACTTCTATAAAATTTGGTCTTCGCTTAGGAGTTGGGCCCCAACACCAAGACATTAGATCCCATCTAAAAATAACAAATATTTTATAAATTTAATTTTAATTCTCATAACAATATAATATTACAATTTTTGGGGACAATCTTCAGGTCTTTGCATTTTTCCGCCGTCAACAACATATTTAAGGACGGCTTCATTTGATAAGCCCTGATAAGGCTGAGAGGCAAGTGTTGCCATTTCCCATAAGACTATACCATAAGACCAAATGTCTGAATAAGTAGTAAAGACTCCATCTTTAAGGGACTCGGGAGCCATCCATCGCACGGGTAACAGTCCTTTTCCACCTTTTCTGTAATAATCTGTTTCATATATGTCTATAAATAAAAAACAAGTTATTTTCACTTATTTTTATACAATTATTGAATGTTAAACCAACCTCTAGTCATACCGAAGTCACCAATTTTTACGGTCATATTCTCCGCAACCATACAATTACGTGCCGCTAGATCTCTGTGAACAAACTTTTTTGAGGCCAAATAAGCCATTCCATCGGCAATTTCTATTGCCATTTGTATTAATTGTTTTAAAGTCGGAGGTCTGGCGTTTGGGTTCTCCTATAAAAATCAAATAAAACAATTTAATCAATAATTATATCAAGAGTTGTCATTTAATTTTTTAACGCATACCTCACTATCCGGTCGGTGCGACCTTAAATAGGTTCTGAGATCTCCATTTGCCATAATCTCCATCAATACATAAACTGGATGTCCCTTAGAAATAATACCCAACAATTTGACGACATGATTGCAATCGACAAACGATCTAATTTATCATAATATTCAGTCATCATTGTTAGTAAAAATAAACAGTAATTAAAAATAATAGTTTATAATATACTTCATAACATCTGCTTCTTTCAAAAAATCGATGCGGTTTTTGGCCATCGCATCATTGACTGTCTTAACCGCACATTTTATAAGCTCCTTGTCCTTCAAATAATCGCCTTCATAGACCATACCAAACGATCCCTGACCTAACTCTTTTCCCACCCGAATCTTATCGCGATCCACTTCCCAATAAGGATCCGCTTGATATTCTGTTAACCAAATGTTATGTTAATAATGTTTAATTAGTTTACATTAGTTTATAACATACCGATTCCGGCACTGATATATTCAGGATTGACTGATACATAATCGAGGGCTCGTTTATTCTTTTTATATTTTAAATACAAAACACCGGCCAATATAACAAACGAAACACTGACTACAGCGGCCACAGGTATTACGATATATATCAGTAGTGGATATGTTTGGGCTATAATAACATGTCATCATATTGTTAATGTGAGTACCAGTAAGTGTTGTCCGCATATATAAAGCATATATAACTCACGTCTCTCTTTAACAGTAAAGTAAACCGGTTTTGTCCACTTTCCTAAACTGGCCAATGAATGAGCTTTCAATATAAACGAGTAGTTACCGGGAGATAGATCTTGTAGTATATGTCCATTATTATTTCTATATTGATCTTGAGTAATACATATTTGGGTATATGCCTAATATATAATTAAAAACATTATTTAAATAATAATTTGTATAAAACAATAATATAAAATACCGATTCAATTGACACTTTTTTGTACTTTAAATGGTAAGAAACAATAAATCCATTTGGTTTCGATGGCTCATCCCATTTGATATAAACTACTTGTGATTCAGCAGTTGTGTTATTATCAGTGATAGAAGTAATTGTACTTTCGATTATGTCATCGGCATTATCTAAATGTTTTTTCATTTTAATAATCAATACATTCATAAATTTAATAAACAAATGCAAACCTAATGGAAGAGTTCTGACAGATGTCATAGCTTTAAGACTGCAATAATCAGTAGATCTGTTATCATTAAGTTTCCTGTCCTGACACGCGCGCACTTCTATTGTATATTCAGTAAAATGAGTCAAATTAGTAATTCTGGTACTCTTTACGTTAACTCTCTCTTGAAATTGAAACACCGGTGCACTTGTTGTCAAAGGTCTTTTAGTGGTCACATTGCTCTCAATGCTTTCAGTCGTCAAATGTGATAACAAATTGTCATCACTTTTGCCAGTTTCTCTTCTTCTTCTTCTCCTTCTCTTTGAATTATCACCAATATTTGGTCTAATGAAAGACAAATAAAGAAAATGATAATTTTGCTTTTTAAATGTTTTTAAATATTTTACTTTTTAACGTATATGGTATTAATCAAATGATCTTCAAAACTAATCCTCCGTTCAGCTTCCATACCGTCGACAATAGTTGGCTTACATGAACAACATTCCTCTGATTCCGAATTAATAGATTTGTTTTTTGGTCCAATCCATGGATTATGAGATTGAGTACAATTGTTTTCACTGACAATTTCTTCAGCAATCTTTTTCGGTGTGTCGTGAGTTATGGCTAAATAAAATCATTTATAAATTATAAATAATTTTTAAAAATTAATTAACCAAAAGTATACATACGTTCTAAACAATAATTTCTATCCGAAGAAAACTCAATTTCTTGCATGTCTTGAGTTGCAGTCACTAAAAAATGAGTCACTTCTCCGTTAGGACGCGACGGCTCTTCCCATTCAATCATTATTTCTAAAGAGTTCTCTGATCTGGCGCTCAGTTTTCGTGGTTGAGATGGAGCTGTTTGTGGTAAAAAAATCAATAATAGATAATTTGAGATAATTTATGGTAAATGCTTACTATCTTCTTCTGTTTTAAAGTAATGAACAGCACTTTGCGCTCCTTTAGTTTCAGAAGCAATTGTATAGGTTTTGATATATAGTGCATATTGGGTATAGGGTTTCAATTGTGGGATAATATGTGTAATATATTGGTCATCATTATCGCCGGCCTCATAGTCATCCACTTTCCAAAAATTTGTAGAACAGGCGTCTCTTCCATCATATATACTAATGTTCTTATAAGGACTGGTAATGCAAATACAAAATATAAATTATGTGAAAAACATAAATACTTATAGAAATCTTACGCTTCCTTATAGTAGATAAGATATCCGAGAAGAGAGCGCTGGTCATCCATTCTATGTTTAAAATTTTGAAACCTAATTCCAACCATTTCGGGTTTGACGCCCCAAATAAAAACCTCCAGTTCCTGTACTTCACAGGCAACTTTGTCACCATTAGAATGAGGCGACACGTCATGTGTATCCCAGGGTCGACTGTGGTTCCTAATGTCTGCGTATGTGTCAAACATTTTCACGATCTTATTGTAGCATAATTTGGGATTAATGTGGAAAAATATTTTGCCCCTTAATATAGTCAATGATTTTTCTGTTTTTATACTATTGTCATCAAAGCTCCACAAGTCTTGAAGGTTTGGATTATCCAAAACAAGGAAGGAATACCTGAAAAAATAATATAAACAGTAAACAAATATAATAATAATAATAAATAATAATATGAATCAAATGCTAGACTACTAACTCATTTCTCTCTAATTGGTTGCCATGAATGAGGCGCAACCTCTTGAGAAAGTTGAGTGTAATGAGAGGGAATGACCTTGCCACTTTTAGGAAACCTGTTATCTCCTCCAAGTGCTGCAAATTATCTTCCAATTCTCGAATAACATTAGCTATTATTAATTTTTGGCACAAAAATCACAAATAAATAAATTATTAAAAATTTTCAAAACAAAAAAATATTTTATCTTCAAATACCTCCACCGCTTTGAATATATATTTCAAGAGAGCCATTAATTTTAGTGCAACCCCTAAGACTTTGAGCTGATGCTATGTTAGTCACCTGAGCTGCAGAACATACTGTAAATATATATAATTAAGAGTTAATTTCAATTGTTGTAATCATTAAATTGTTGTATAAGTATATAACCTTTAGGACAGGGACCGTCACAACTCTCACATTTGTGTCGATTTTCTGAATTCTCACTAAAACCAAGCGGACATTCAGTGGTACAAACGCCATCAATTGGTTTCAAAAACTTATCTTTATTGTAATATTTGGCAGAAATATTAAGACATTCCTCTTTGGTTACACATCTTCTACCCAAATACTAATAAATAAAAATTATTATCAATTAAAATGTTAAAATCATAAAAATAAATATTTATTACTTCATAAGTATCTTTGGGACACTTGTTAACACATTTGTTGAGATGAAAAAACTTTTGACACGAAAAGCATTGGTTGACATCAGAATTACTACAACCACTTAAACAGTTTTTGTCACAACATCTCCCGGAGCGCGAACACGACTGGTTATTACGTTCACATTCCACGGGACACGACACTAATTGTGGCAATTGTTATATTAATTAAATAAAATCTTATAAACTTTTAAAATGTCATACAGTGTTGACACGAATCGTTTTGTGAATTCCAACAAAGTCTTCCGCTTTGATCTCCGATGACTTTTCCATCAGGTGTTCTGGTGCTCCCATACAGACATTTTGAGCTACAAGTGGGACATTCCTTCCTTGCTTTGTTACCCTATATATACAATATATATCATTCATTAATTGATACAATTTATATCTAACAATAGTATCCAAATTAACTCACGTGAATGTAATGACCATTTTTGGCACTTCTGGCGATGCGATCCCAATCAATGGTTTCAATGAAACATAGATTGGGGTTCTTCTCGATCCTTACGGCGCCCCTAACTATATGAGTGAGCGATCGGAGGCCTATTTGTTGCAAATGTAACATCTCATAGATTACAAGTGCAAAGTCATGGAATAGATTGCGGCCTCTAATCACAGATAAATTAGGAAACAGTTTACCCAAAGTCGGTAAACCCATCGCTCGAAATACTAATAAATAATCAGTGATTTCTCTCAGAGCCGGAAACGTTAGGTTTTCATAGTCTTTAGGCGTTCCGTTATCTATCAATACTATCTGTATGTATCCCTCAACTACTGAACAGTTCCGCAATTTATTGAAGTTCTCCGCTGTGTTCCTGATGTCAACACTTCCACACACTAGAGGTATAATAATAACAAATTATATCATCATTTGAGACATCATTACAATTGATGAGTGTTTTCAAGTAATCAAAAGTCATTTCATTGATAATAATTACTTTCATATCAATCATAATATTATTAAATTTCATAACAAATAATCAAAACTATCATCAATTATAAGACTATCACCAAATGGTAAACAGGATATCAAATGTGTGTCAAACATAATGACTGTGTTTAAGAGTAGGTCTGACACTCACAACAAACTCATAAATGTTTGGACATTAAGACAACAAGAGTCGTGACATTTATGACAATTAATAGTAATACAAAACTAAAGACATACCGATCTCTTGAGCCGAAATTGGATCCATTAGACAGACAATGGAGAGAAAAAGGAGGCCAACAAAAGTGACGACCATTTTTGAACAATTGTTTTCAATCATCATTTAGTGATTGAGAGGTAAATCATTTTGTTGGTCATCGGATCAGTCATTTGTTTGGTCATCAAGTGATCAGTCAATCAATTGAAGTAATAGTTGTAGTATTGAGTCAATAGTAGACTATTTGATAGTATAGTCAATACAATGGATGACAAACACAGCAAAAGTGTTAAAACCATACAAACATATAACCAATACATACGTCAAACACAATATATGACATCCATTGCACTCACTATACAGGGATTCAATTGTATAACAACATTGTTTGTGGCAATCAATCCCTCAATTGCCCCATAAATTGGCATTTAATGTATACTCGACCTCAAAACCATACGTTAAGATTCCATTGTTTTGCATAATATATATCATATACACTACATCTACATGTAATATAAATGTTATATACTGTACAGTATATAACACAATAAATAATAATTTTAATTAATATTATACTTTAATGTATATATTATTATTAGGATTCGGGCAACTTTCCAACTTCCCGTAAAATAGGGAAAATATTTTATATTCCCTCCCTTTAATCGTTAGAAAGAAAAATTATTTTATATTTTTACAATAAATAGTAAGAAAAATAAAACATTTTGCATAAAATTTCATTGAAATATTTAAAAATCAATTTGAATTCAATAAAATTAGTAATATTATTCAATAATAACACTCATAATACAGTTTAATATTATATTTGTTATTCAAATTTATATTAAAATTTGTTTAGAGTTCAATAGGTGGTAACACAATGAAATAGATTCCCTGGGAATTTCCAGGGAGTATGGAAAATAGGGAACTTTTAAATTAAAACAATAGAAATAACTTGTCCGAACCCTAATTATTATAGAAATTATAATGTTATAACTGAATTAATACACATAAATATATTTAAAGTTATAAAGTTTTAAAATAACAATTATTATACAAATAATATTTAACAATTAATTAATTAATAATGTTCTACATTGTATTAACTAATATATTATATTTTTAAAATAATTTTATAATTAAATAGATTTGTCATATTAAGAACTTAATTATTATACCTATAAATATATTGTGACATTTGATAATTTATAAATTTTTGTGATTTCATGTCAACATTTTTTATATGATGCGTATAAACATGTGTTATATTTATAGTAATACTTTCTGAAAAAAATTATTTTCGAAAATTAAATTAAACTTTTTATGAAATGTTAGATTTCATTATAGTAATCAATATTTAAGGCTAATATATATAGAAAACACATAATATATTTGATTTTGATAAAAATAAATTTCAACAAATTATTACTTTTAATAATTTTAGAATCAAAGACTAACTAATATTTTTTATTTACAATCTGTAATACTGTATATATTTATATATATTAATAACTTTTCATTAATAAAATCTGGATATTTTTTGGTAATCATTAAAATAAATTGAGTTTTGCAAATTATTTTTCTCATAATAGATATAATAGGAAATTTATATTTAAAATATATATAATTGTAATTTTTAAAATTCTGTAATTTAAGTTATAAATAATATTTTTATATATAAATTATTCATTTTTCTGTAATAGACAAATCATGATTTATATATCAAATATAAGTTTATTTCATTTTAATATTAATATGACAAAGCCTTTCAAATGTAATTCAATTTCTTTAATGTAATAAAACTTTAAAAATAATAAAATATTAAGTTATTAAAAAAAATGTAAATAATAATATAATATTTTTGACCATTACACTTTTTTCAAAATTTCAAGCTTTTATAAATTATATAAAACATTAATACGATGGCTGACTATACGTGTGGTTAAAGTTGTTTTGATCTAAAAAGTGATGAACCAATCGGATTGATTGTGTGTTACAGTAGTGTTTGGTGACGTCATTTGGAAAAAACTTGTAAACAACATCAGTATTATATGTGTTATGTATATGCAGTACAATATAGTATAGTATAGTACAGTATAGTACAGTGTGTATGTGTATAAACTGTATGTATTAATATTTATTGTACATAATGTATATGTGTATGTATATGATGGCCAAATACAATTTTGTCAAAATCAATACATTTTCATACCATCGATGGCGAATCGTCCGCACACTTGTATGCAATCAATTGAGACTACTTTCATGTGATGGACAACTGGTCCGCAATAATAATTGGTATGCAATTTATATATGACTTTTAATGTTACATATGATTGCATAATATATTGACAATCAGTTTACATATGGATATATTGAATGTCCTCCACTTGTATTGAATGCTATGATCAAAACACCGATTGACAAACAAACAAAAAAAAAGTCAAACACTAGTAGTACTACACATAAAAATATTTGACAAAATAATAATTATTTCATTACAACATATAAAGTGTTATTTTATGACAAATTACAAGAAAAAACAACATTTTGACTTATTTTTTGATTTAATTGTCATTTAATTTTTTAAATAACTAAATCATTTATCTGAACCTTCATATATAATCTATACTTTCTATGTGTGATGTAAGTGATGGTCAATTGATTGAATTTTTATATTATTTTTACGTTTAGTTTTTGAATAGTTTTCACACACTTTACTAGACTTTAGTGAATTCCGTTCACTGATTGCGACCAATAATTACTATAATATAATCTCTATGAGAGCTAATAATAATTTAAACTTTAAATGATTTTATTAAATTTATTTAATAATAATTATTTATTCAAATAATTTATTTAAAAAAATGGTTTAATTCACAATTATTGGTCTGATTTTGTTTTATTCAAAATACTTGATCCAAATTATATTACAAAACTCGATAAACCAATTCTTTAATTTATTAGTTGAAATATCAAGAAATTTATTATATTATTAAATTGTAATTTCCTGTAAGCCATTTGTTTTTAGATTTTAATTATTGTATTAATTTTCTGTTAAATACAATATATTGTATTAAATAAGTAAAAGTTTTTGTTCAAATAATTTAAATTAAATGACCTAATATTTAAGATAAAATAATTTTAAACAAATGAAATAGTTTTATGAATTTTTGTCCATAAATTAAATATAAATTATTGATCAATATATTTGACAGTTGGAAATGTGGACAACAATTGATCTCAAATGTGATGCTTTTGTGCCACAATTGCCATTCAATACAAGCTATTGAAGAAAATGTCAATTATTTTAATTTGTTTGACCAAAACATATCGTTTAATATTAATTTGATTGACTTGAGTAAGACATATAAAAGTCTTCAGATGACAACACATCCCGACAAATACGTAAAGGCATCACAAGTAAGATTTGATGACATTTTTTATTCAACTCTTTATATATATATATATATTGTATGTATAATTGATAACAGACTGAACACATCTATTCAATGGACAATTCGTCACTTATTAATAAAGCTTACAAAACCCTTCGGGAACCGTATGAAAGGGGACTCTATTTGGTGAAGTTGTCTGACAATCATATTAGTGAAAGTAAGTCAACAAAACAAACTAGTTTTTCAATTAATGTCTATTTTTATTACTAAATTAAAATGATATATAAATACAATATTAAACAGTATTTAGTAAAATTGATTTATTGAAATTAACATAAACAATTAAATCTATTATATAATTATTAGCTACAGTATATGATAAATATTTAATGATACATTATAAATATATGATTAAATAAAACTTTTATTAAAATATAGGCCACACTCACATGGATTCACAATTTTTAACGGATATTATGAAAATTAATGAAGACATCGATGAAAATGTAAATTCAAAAAACAAATTATTAGAAATCTTAAAGACAAATGAAAATAATATGAATGATGTTATTAAAGAAATATCACTTGCTTTTAGTGTTAATGATATAATTAATGCTAAACTATTGTTAGCAAAATTTAAGTTTTATATTACATTAGACTTAAATTTAAAAGAAAAAATAGAAAAGTTGGAATAATATATATAAGACAATAAACATAAAAATATTAATTAATTAAATGTTAGATACAATTGTGTATTATTATTAAATTAGTTGATATATTATTTACTTTTAAGATTGGTTTTGTTTACTTAACAAATTAAAAGACAACTTTTGATTAGTTCAACAAATGGCTATTCAATTAAAATGAATGCTTTTGTTTACATTAGTATTTGAAAGTTGTTTTTTGATGGCATTTACAAAAAATGATTGTTTAATTCAAATATTATTATTATTATTATCTTTATTGAAATTGTTGTAAGTTTTTGATGTTTGTTCGCACGCACAGCCATTTCTTACGCGAATGTAATCCAAACGCCACGGAAACGACTATTTTTTATGAGAAATATATAATAATAATTTGATTTAAATTTTAATCTGAAAATTATGATAATTTTGATACAGAATATAATGTTAACTAACTTGCGGTGCATTGAATTCTCTGACCAAAGCGTAAGTAAAGCTATATTTCTGAACGCATCCAAACCTCGCAATCAACCGATTCTTTGGATACATTTGTGTGAATAGACTGCGTCCGCAACGCTTACCCTTCTCTTGACACGAATATTGATAAAAACTTTGCGTTGAATTGACGTCTCTATACAACTCTAATATGCGTCCACTTCGGGATACACCACCTCATTGGACATTATATTAATTATTAATAATTATTTAAATTATTTAAAATTAATTATAATTACCTAAAGGTTTAATAATTTCTTCTACAACACCACAGCATTCGTTTATTATCGGATAATCTTTTGGATATCTTTTGTTTAAATGTATTTTGTTTTTATAATTTACTAAATTTATTCTATTAAAAGTTGAAAAAATAAACATTTTATTAATAGAAATAATAGAAAAAAGAGCAAAAAATAATTATAAAAGATGTCATACTTTTTAATATAATTGAGTTTTCGTTGAAGGCTTTCATTATCAACTATTGTATCATTTTTCGAAAATGCACTCAATATTATCGGAAATGTCTAAAAATAATAAAAGTTTTTTAATAATTTATTTTTTATTAGTATAAACAAACGTATTCTATAAATGTTTATAAACTACAATACATACTATATATTGAATTTTATTTGTAAATATTTGCTTTCAGGTCATTATAATGTTAATAGTGTGGTAAAGTAGAGTATATAGTATATACCGGATTACAATTTTGGTGTTAATATTAAATCAAGCAATAGATGCTTCAAAATTTATGCGGTCTTATTAAATCAGTTGAGATATAAGTTAAAGATAATAAGTTATACATTATTTACTACTAAATATTGTAAATAATGTATTATTTTAATCCATAGTATTATAGAATATTTATATATCAAAAGGTTTCACTGTTTTATTAATATCTTGATTATTTATCGGACAATATATTATCAATAATTAAATTTATATATATATATAAGAAATATATATACTGTATAAATATTGTGTGTGTGTGTGTGTGTGTGTGTGGTGTCTATGTATGTACTGTAGATTCATTTAAAATTAGACATTATAAAAATATCTAAATATTTTATTTAAATCTAGAGATGGACAAATAGAATGTTTCTAGAAATTTTCTCAGGAATAAATTTCTAAAGAAATTTAACTTTAAAGTTATACTATGGGATCCCCATATTTATAGCTATTGTATAATTAATACTACTATATTAATGAGACATAATGCATAAGTACTATTATATAACGTTAGATAATATTATTCTATATATAAAATTATTATTATAATAATTATATAATAATAATTAGTTTTGTAACATTTTATTCATCATTTTATTATTTATAGTTTAATATAATTTAATTAATTAATTTTTTACTTTAATTAATAATTAAATTACTACTAAAAATATTTAATTATTACTTGTAAAAACAATGTATTGTTACAAGATGACAATAATTAGATAATAAAATTAACATGGAGATCTCATAGATAGAAATTTCTTTGAGAAACTTTTTACAAATTCCTCTATTATTTTATAAATTTTTCTATTTTGCCAAAACTATTTAAATCACAAATCATAAGAACCAATATATTACTAAACATTTTAGATATTAAAACACATTTAGATAAACAAAATCAACATAAAATTTATTGACAGAAATCTAGAAATTCAAAAAATTATTTTTCATTTAATATAATAATTTTATTGGTTAATGTTAAAACAAAATCAAATAATTTTTAACCACTAATTTTTAAATAATTAATAATAAAACTACAAAAATAATAACAGCTTATTTATGAATTAATTAAATAGATTATTATATAATTTTAATTGAAAACATTTTTTATATGTGCTATAATAATAATAAAATCTCAAATTYAMATTTTAGTTATATCGGATATGATCATTATTTTCAATTTATAATTATTTTTATCATAATTGATACATAATGGGACTCACATTTAATTTAATGAATACTAAATGATTATAATAAGACTTCAATTAGAGTATATTTTTAGAAAATATTTTTATATTAAAATAATTTCTATTTACCCAACACTACAGTAGAAATTATTAATTATTCAATAGTATTAATACACCCAAAATCAACTCATTTGATATAATAATTAGTGACAATATAATTTATATCGTTAACATAATTTGTAAATATTTGATAGTTTTTAATATATAAAATAATTAGTATTAATTGCTATTTGTATTATTTTGATTAATTCATGCATTTTTATAAATATAGGGTGTGCATATTTGCATCATAACATTTAATATACAGTAATTATTTATTGTTTAGTTTGTTTATTATTGTATTTTTAAAATATAATAACAATAAGGAAAAATAAAATTATAGTAATATGTTTGTTATATATTTATTATCCTAATAACTTTAAGACATTTGTTTTGTCTGTTTGTTTGTTTGTTTGTTTGTTTGTTTGTTTGTTTGTTTGTTTGTTTGTATGTGTGCACACTTCCTCAACAACCATTTTTTAATTCAAAGCTAAAAATATATTGTTATATTTTCAATTTTAATTTAAAGCAATATTATTTCTATGGGAAATTTTAAATGATTATTGAGCTCAGGTAGGTTTTAGGGACAGGTAGGCTGGTGTCGTGTAATTACACTTTGCTATATTATATGAGTTACAGGGCACTGGGAGGTAAGCTACCTGTGCTAAATTTTTGCAAAATTTTCTCAAATGCAAAAATTTTCAATTTGTGTTAAAATTTTCAATTTTAATTTAAAGCAATGTTATTTCTATGGGAAATTTTAAATGATTATTGAGCTCAGGTAGGTTTTAGGGACAGGTAGGCTGGTGTCGTCTAATTACACTTTGCTATATTGTGTGAGTTTATGGCACATGTTAGCTACATGTGTTAAATTTCAGTAAATTTTTTTCAAATATTATATGAGTTACAGGGCACCGGGAGGTAAGCTACCTGTGCTAAATTTTTGCAAAATTTTCTCAAATGCAAAAATTTTCAATTTGTGTTAAAATTTTCAATTTTAATTTAAAGCAATGTTATTTCTATGGGAAATTTTAAATTTTTGTTGAGCTCAGGTAGGTTTTAGGGACAGGTAGGCTGGTGTGTCGTGTAATTACACTTTGCTATATTGTGTGAGTTTATGGCACATGTTAGCTACATGTGTTAAATTTCAGTAAATTTTTTTCAAATGCAAATTTTTTTTCGCAAAAATTAAATTTTCAATTTTTATTAAAATTATTTAAATATATATAAAAACTAAAATTTCTCAAAAGTTTAGTCGAATTAATGTGTATTGGTTCAGTAGTTTTGTTACATTAGGTTATGTAGTAGTTGTATAAACAAATTAAGTCTCATTCAAATTACTTATAGTAAAATAAAATTATAGTAATATGTTTGTTATATATTTATTATATATTTTAATAATAATATAAAAAGTTATTGTAATAATAAATAATATACAGTAATATAAATGTTTATTTAAAGAGTTTTACATATCTGTAACATTTATAGAGTATTACAAAACATGTAAATGTTAATCAAACTATCAATTCATTAATACCTACAGCAAAGAAATTTAATTATAATTTTTTATATAATTAAAAAATCATATTATTTATTAAAAATTGATAAAATTAGATGACAAACTCTTAATTAAATTATTTATAAATTATTGTACTTATACATTGGGTAGTTTAATTAAGAAAACAAATTAATTATACAATAATTATTTTTTAGTATTAATTAAATAAATTTTAAAAAATAAAAGTGATAAAATTAATAAATAATGGATTATCTATTATATATTATTATAAAGTTTATCAATAAACTGTAGGTTTAGTTAATAACACCGAAAAGTGTTGGGAATTATTTGTTGTTTTGCAACTTAGTTATGCTCTTAAGTATGTCTTTGAAACCATTTTATTTAAATAAAGAAAATTTAAGAATTTTTAAAATTATTTTGACTTTAATACTATATAAAAAAAAGTTTAGTTTAATGTTGTTAAAAAGCAAAGTTTTAAACATTTGATTTTGTAAACTTATATTTTTATTGTTATTTTCTAATTTGTTTAATTATACTTTATTTTTTAAAAAATAATTTGTATTTAATTAATTAATACCTTTAGTATTAAGTTTTGGTTATTGATACACAAATAAAACTTTTTTGCTGTCTAGTCATATACTTTTCATTTGAAAACATCAATTACATTAAAAAAATCTTATTTAGATAAACATTTTTATCACGAAATGTATAATTTATATATTTGTAATTATTTTCAATATCAAATATAAATGAAAAATACAAATTATGTAGCTCAATAGTCTATTTACTACGAGTTTTAGTAATTTTACATTGAAAAGTTTAAAAAACAAGTTTTTTGAAATTAATTTTTAGCAGAATTAATAATAAAATTATTATTATTCTGTATACTATTTAAATAGATTATAAAATGCTAATTTTGCAATATATTATATAAGTATAAACATATAAAAAACTAAACAAAAAATTAATATTTTAATAAATAGTTTTTTCTTATAAAAATTTTTAATACTATTTAATAGTATTAGTCTATAAAAAGTATCAATTTCTAAAATAAATTTGAATTATCGATTATTGGATTTTGTATATAAAAGATTTTACTTGAGTTTTATGCAATTTTATTATATTTTATTGATTTTTGACTATTTTGGATATTAATATTTTTGACTAATATGACAAGCGTTACTGAATTAATGTATTGTTATAAAAAAATTAAAATAATCTATAAATAGTATATTATTTAAGGGTTATTTAAGTTTTGTTTAATTTTTATTTGTTTTAGTCCCAAACCGGGAATTTTAGTTAACTACACTCTAATGGGGAACATCTATAGTAGACTTATATAACGGAATCAGAACTTTATGTACCAATAGATAATCCAATATTTATTATTATTATTTGCATATTAATTATTAGACATTTTTAAAAATATTGGTGATTTTTAGTATAGTTTTATATTAATTTATGAAAATTTAAAAAAGTATATAACTAATATAAAGTTTAAATAAGCTATAAAGTATTATCAGAATAAGCCA